AAAAAAAGAAGGAGAAGAAGAAAAGAAGAAGATGAAGAAGAAGAAGGAAAGGGGGGTTGGGTTATCTTGGTGCCGACACATTCACGTTTGCGAAAAAGAGGAGAGGAAATGAATGTTATTTTGTAAATTTAAATAAAAAATAGAGATGAAATGATGGATTACACATCCCAACTCCTAAGTGGGATATGGTATCAAGAAGTTGCTTTATTAAATGTCGGGCCATTACCTTTTTCATGGGCTTTTCATGCTTGTACCAAACATAATAATAAGAAGGAAATAGTATGAAATGAGGTGATATCACCCCCTATCAAGCCTACCAAACACACCCAAAGAGAATAATCATTTACTAAAAATAGTAGCAAACAAAGCTGGAAACATTTAATGTTTACCTTATTTGGAATCTTTTTAACTATATGCATTAATTGCTTGCATAGACACATTTCCAAAACAGATATGAAAAGATTGTTTTCTTAAATAATTTTATTAATTTTTGCAATAATTTTACTGATATCCATTATAATAAACTACAATTTGATTTTTCGTGATTCAGGTTGATAATATTTTGGTCAACATAAAATAAATTTTAAATCTTAACTATATTACTAATTTCTTTTTTCAAAAATATTGACTTTTATCCTAAAATATTTATAAACAATCGTAACATGTTAAATAATTTTATCCTTCTAAAAGCAAGTTGATAAATTAATATTTGTTGATAATTTTTTTAACCTTTATTTAATTATATAAAAACAAATAACTTTTCAAAATTAATATAATTCATCATTTAAGAGATGATGAACACTTCATTAAATAATTTTACTAATGACTAGATAATAAAATTAAAATATATTATTTATTCTTTAAAATTTAACATGTGATTTATTTGTATACTATTGTCAACCATGATATTTTTTTTTATTATTATTATTATTATTTTGTTTTGATTTGTTTATATAATGAATTCATTGTAAAATATTTTTCTATTACATATTAAATAATCTATAAAGCCTTAGGATGAAAATAAAAAAATAAAAAAAAAAAT